ATCATGTGACAGCGCAACTTATCATGTGACAGATCAACTTATCATATGACAGCTCAACTTATGTGATAGCTCAACTTATCATATGACAGCTCAACTTATCATATGACAGCTCAACTTATCATGTGACAGCTCAACTTATCATGTGACAGCTCAACTTATCATATGACAGCTCAACTTATCATGTGACAGCTCAACTTATCATGTGACAGCTCAACTTATCATATGACAGCTCAACTTATCATATGACAGCTCAACTTATCATATGACAGCTCATCTGATCATGTGACAGCTCAACTTATCATATGACAGCTCAACTTATCATGTGATAGCTCAACTTATCATATGACAGCTCATCTGATCATGTGACAGCTCAACTTATCATGTGACAGCTCATCTGATCATGTGACAGCTCAACTTATCATGTGACAGCTCATCTGATCATGTGGCAGCTCAACGTATCATGTGATAGCTCATCTGATCATGTAACAGCTCAACTTATCATATGACAGCTCAACTTATCATATGACAGCTCAACTTATCATGTGACAGCTCAACTTATCATATGACAGCTCATCTGATCATGTGACAGCTCAACTTATCATGTGACAGCTCATCTGATCATGTGACAGCTCAACTTATCATGTGACAGCTCATCTGATCATGTGACAGCTCAACTTATCATGTGACAGCTCAACTTATCATGTGACAGCTCAACTTATCATATGACAGCTCAACTTATCATGTGACAGCTCAACTTATCATATGACAGCTCAACTTATCATGTGATAGCTCAACTTATCATATGACAGCTCATCTGATCATGTGACAGCTCAACTTATCATGTGACAGCTCATCTGATCATGTGACAGCTCAACTTATCATGTGACAGCTCATCTGATCATGTGGCAGCTCAACGTATCATGTGATAGCTCATCTGATCATGTAACAGCTCAACTTATCATGTGACAGCTCAACTTATCATGTGACAGCTCAACTTATCATCCGACAGCTCAACTTATGTGACAGCTCAACTTATCATGTGACAGCTCAACTTATCATATGACAGCTCAACTTATCATGTGACAGCTCAACTTGTCATATGACAGCTCAACTTATCATGTGACAGCTCAACTTATCATATGACAGCTCAACTTATCATGTGACAGCTCAACTTGTCATATGACAGCTCAACTTATCATGTGACAGCTCAACTTATCATGTGACAGCTCAACTTATCATGTGACAGCTCAACTTATCATATGACAGCTCAACTTATCATGTGACAGCTCAACTTGTCATATGACAGCTCAACTTATCATGTGACAGCTCAACTTATCATGTGACAGCTCAACTGATATGACAGCTCAACTTATCATATGACAGCTCAACTTATCATGTGACAGCTCATCTGATCATGTGACAGCTCAACTTATGTGACAGCTCAACTTATTATGTGACAGCTCATCTGATCATGTGACAGCTCAACTTATGTGACAGCTCAACTTATGTGACAGCTCAACTTATGTGACAGCTCAACTTATCATGTGACAGTTTAACTAAGCATGTGACAGTTTAACTGATAACTAATCATGTGACAACTCAACAGATCATGTGGCAACTAAACATTTCATGTGGCAACTCAACAGATCATGTGAAAAGTCAACAGATCATGTGACAGCTCATCTGATCATGTGACAGCTCAACTAAACAAATTCAAAGAACCACCATATCTCAATGAAACATTCATATAGATGATCTGAGATTATTCACAGACACAATTATTTTTTGGTTGAAATCCCTGCATACTAATTTCCTAATTTGCATAAATATGTCTCAACAACACTGCCACAAATTTTAATGAAACTTGGAGATAATTTAGAGACCTGGCTATTTCTTAATTGAATTTTTTGCATATTAAATATCCTATTTGCATAATATTTACTTAATAATATCTCAAGAAACATGACTAGACTTCAATGACACATGATACATATGTGTTCTGGGATACATTCCTCATACCTTTGTTGTAATAATATGAGGTTATAATGAGGATACCTCAAAGTATGCACGAAGACAGTACAGCGAGAGTATTGACCGACACACAGCAGAGGACGATGTGACAGCGTACTGTCTGAGTGCATACTTTGAGGTATCCTCGTTATGACCTTAAACATCTTTTCCTTACAAAGATACATCATGGGAATGCCGGAACTTATGGCGTTATAAGTTTTCTGTTATCATCTTTGAACATATGAATAAGATTGCGTTTTTAAGATTTTTCTTTAATAGTCTTATCCTAATTGTTCAGCATTTCTTTATCATGAATTCAGTCATTAGTCCCCGTTCGGACGTAGTATGTTTTGCCCTGTGTGCGTCCGTCCGTCCGTCCGTCCGTCCGTCCGTGATCACCTGTATCTCGAACATGCATGGACCGATTAAGTTCAAACTTCACTCATACATCACACATATGCACATGCATTTTTTCAAGATCCAATTAACGATAGCCGAATAGCGGCCATTTTCAGGCCGAAAATGCATCAAAATCGCACATTTTCACCATTCCGGACCCGGATCTCAGTTATTCATGGACGGATTTTGTT